AGTGGATTGCCTGAGCCCGCGGGTTCGAGACCCGCCTGGGCAACTTGGCGAGACCTCATCTCTACAATAAATAAAAAATGAGCCAGGCGTGGTAGTGTGTGCCTGTAGTTCCAGCTACTTGGAAGGCTGAGGTGGAAGGATTGCCGGAGTCCAGCAGGTCGAGGCTGCGGTGCTGGGAGCAGCCACTACACTCCAGTCTGGATGACAGAGTGAGATTCCAACTCAAAAAAATAAATAAATAAATAAATAAAAACAAAAATATTTTTCCCAAGTAATTTAACATTCTGCAGAAGAAATAAAAATTCAATACACATACTTTTAAAAGATGGAAAAGTAAGACACAGGGAGAATTTTATTTGTACCTTGTAGAATAAGACTATCTATAATTTATCCCTTATTTACTGAAACACAAAAGTTTCATTGAAAACTTTTTTTGGAGTTAGGATCTCACTCTATCGCCCAGGCTAGAGTACAATGGCACAACCGCGACTCACTGCAGCTTCACCTCCGGGGCTCAGGTCATCCTTCCAGCTCAGTCTCCTGAGTAGCTGGAACTACAGGCGTACACCACCATGCCCAGCTAATTTTTTTTTCTTTTTGTAGAAAAAGCTTATTATTTTTAAGCAGAGGTCAACCTGAATTGAGTCCTTAATGGTGAATCCCTAAAAATGTAAATCTACAAACTTCAGATTTTGAATTTAAAGTTTCCTTTACACACCTATCTTTCTGAAATAATTTTACCATGACTTCAAATAATAAAATTAGTACTACACCACCAATATAATCAACACACAAATACTTGTGCCATTAATCATAATACCAATTTTTTTTTTTTTTTGAGTTGGAGTCTCACTCTGTCACCCAGACTGGAGTGCAGTGGCACACTCCCGGCCACCGCAGCCTCGAACTGCTGGGCCCGCGATCCTTCCGCCTCAGCCTTCCAAGTAGCTGGAACTACAGGGGCGCACTACCACGCCCGGCTCATTTTTTATTTATTGTGGAGATGAGGTCTCACCAAGTTGCCCAGGAGGGTCTGGAACCCGCAGGCTCAGGCAATTCACTCACCTCAGCCTCCCAAAGCGTGGGATTACAGGCTGAGA